CCCTTTTCCCATCGAGGGGTGTGTGTGGCATTTTTTGGGGGGGTCCTGCCTTCTTTCCTGACCCAGGAAAACGGGGAGAAGGGTCCCCCACAACTCTCTCTCCCCCCCCTTCCGCCCCCCAAATGATTCTCCCCGTTCCTGCCCGGGCGGCCTCTCGAATATGGGTTCTAGTAGCCAGTCCGGGGGGGCTGGTCTGGATCCGCCGAAGGCGCCTTTGGAAAGACTTGCCTTGGGTGGCGTGGGGGCTCTTTTCGAAGCATCTCCCGAAGGGGGGGCTGGGGGGTTCCTCTGGCTGCCCACAGCTGAATCATCCCCCAGGTGAAGAGAGAGATGCTGGAGGGGTGTGTGTGTGTGTGTGTGTCTGAGAGAGAGAGAGAGACCAAAGATGACAAGCAGGTCGAACTTGGGTCCTACTCGTTTTCGTTTCATCTAAATAGAACAGGGTGTTTTGGGGGGTGGAGGAAAGAGGGAGAGATGCAGAGGGTTAGTTCAGAGGAGGCTGAATGGAGTTTGGGGAGGTGTATTTCCTCCTAAAGATGCACAGAACACCGCGGATGCCGTGCCTCGTTGCAAAAAATCTAGTTTTAATTATCTACTGTCTTATGCATGCTTCTTTGGAAGTAAAATCCACCCTGCTTGGGAGCCTTTGTCCCTAGAAATGTGCATTATAGTGTCGTCGTCATAAATCTGCATAGAGGTGGCTGAAAATACATGTTCATAAGAGCAACTCAGGACACTGTGTCGGTGAACATCCAGGGCTTAGTGCACTGCTTCCCTGTCTTGGATCCATCGATGGTCTTGGCCTACAGCTCCCAGAAATCCTGGCCAGCACAGCTTGTGGTGAAGGTTTCTGGGAGTTTTAGTCCAGGAACATCTGGGGACCCCAGGCTTAATGGGTGATTCTGCTACCTTGCAACAACGTTAGAAGTCGACCTGTCTTCTCCCTGTGTTGCAGATCAGTCCTTGAGAGAACCTTGCTTCAGGTTGTCTGCACCGCCTGCCAGCTGAGGTGGCAAGGATCTGGAGACTTTTGACTGCTAAGCTAGGCCAGTGGTTTCTGCTTATGAAGCCGCGGTGCCTCTAGATCCGTGGTTCCAAACCTTGGGTAACTCAGGCGTTTTGACACTATAGTCTCCAGAAGCTTTCACCACTAGTGGTGCCGCTAAATCTGTGGTTCCAAACCTTGGGTAACTCAGGTGTTCTGACACTATAGTCTCCAGAAGCTTTCACCACTAGCTGTGCTGGCCAGGGGTTTGGGGAGTTGCAGTTCAAAAACACCTGGGTTGCCTAAGTTGGGAAGCACTGTTCCAGTTGCCCTGTACTCCCAGCCCCTTGTGGTTCCAGTTGCAGACCGTTAAGGGGCAATGCATTTAATTTTTTTTAAACAGGTAGGCTAAGGAACTTGGGAAGATAGCTTCAGTAACATTTCTAGTTTCCCATGTTCAGTAATTTTAAAAAGAGTCTTGCTGGATTGGACCCAAGGTGTACACAAAGCAGCCTCCCATTTAGGGCAAGGTAGATACCCAAATGTCTGAAGGAAACCCCAAAGCAAGAGAAGAAGGCAATAGCCTTCTATTAATACTTCCCAAAGTATTCTGTTAATAATGGTTGTGGGTTTTTCGGGCTTCTTGGCCGTGTTCTCTCCCACCTAGACTATACTGACTCCCCAAAATCCACAAGGACTCTACCCCGCTCAGGCCCATTGTAAGTGCCATCGGCTCCCCAACATAAAAAAACTGAACACGGCCAAGAAGCCCGAAAAACCCACTACCATTAGATCCCGGCCGTGAAAGCCTTCGGGAATACATTCTGTTAATACATTGAGGCATTTGATCTCTGGATTCTTTTACAAATTGTGAAACCTTCATGACTAGAGGCTACCCTTAGTCTTATTGTCTGTGAACCTAATTCCCTTCTAAAGCCATTTTAAGTTGATGGCCATTGTCCTGCCTATGGAGCCAAAGGATGTAGTTAGTTTAGTCATTGCATTGTGTGAAACGGTTCTTTTTGTCTGTCCATCTGTTTCATTTCATTGGATAATCTCAGTTGCTAGTACCAGGGAAGGAGAAAAACTGTTCTTCTCCACGTGTTGCATTATTTACATACTTCTGTTGTGTCATATCTGGCTTGTCTTCCCTGCCTCCTAAACTAACTAGTTCCTAACCTTTCCTTCGAATGTATTGTTCTGTTTTATGTCCACACAGCAAATTCAGGCAGTTTGGGTCCATTCTTCTGTGCCTCTGAAGCCTAGTTTTAAGGTCTTGGCATTAACTTTCAAAGCCTTAGGTTCCTTGGGCCAGCACTCAGATCGTTGCCTGAGCCTTAAAATGAGAATGTGGGGCCTTGCTATCTAGTCAATCAGCAAAAGACTGGCTGTTATCTCAGCATGGTGTCCTCTGTGGTGGCTCCACATCTCAGCTATATTGTTGCCAAATAAGTATCCTTAGGCTGGCTTTCACTGCCCTTTTTTGCTCCCATTGGCTTTGGGGTCATAACACTGTGGCTTTTGTCTAGTTGCTTTTTTCATGGGATTCCTGCCCTGAGCAGAGGGGTTGGACTCAGTGGCCTTACAGGGCCCTTCCAACTCAATTATTCTACAATTATATTATTGCTTTTAATTAATCAGGCCTTGATATTTCATTAGTGTTCTCAGTGATCTTGTATTCTTAATATTGTTAACCCCCAGGGTTAACAATATCTTGGAATGTACGTGCATTAAAATAAACAGAATAAAAGGGCCTGTTTCATATCAGTCTCATCTTTTTTTCACACAGGCATAATCTGGAATAGCAATGCATAGATTTGCACTGTTAGATTCACACTTATTTTTTTTACTGAATTCAGCATTTGTGTAAGTCTCCTGTTAAAAATCAGTGGGTCTTGAAGGAGTTCATCATTTGGTCAGATTGTAACCCATAATATTTGGTTACATTATTTTTGAGGGTGAAATTATGCAAGTGACAGCATACACTAAAAACAGACATGTTGCTTTCAGTAATTTGCCCCATACTGTATTTCTGTAGACTACATTTGAGATTTCCAGTTTAAAGGGACCACTTTCAGAAGTTTGCTGACTGAGAACGCCTTGTTGGTTTATGGAACGGAGGAACATTTCTCTGTACATGTTGCAACTTTCTGCTTCACAGTTGGAATATCTTCAGCATTCTTTAATCAATGCATTTGCAACTGGAATCGTTTGCAGTGCAGAGAGGAGACGCATTAAAATGCATGGCCTTTCCTGAAACCTCTTGGCAAATTGGCGTGCTGGGACTTGATGCTTGCAACTAAATGGAGCATGACAAGAAGCTCTTGAATTTCCCTCCTTTCCCCTTGGCTGGGGTGACATCACTGCCACTTTCCCTCCTTCGGTGCTGAATGAAGTCTGCTGCTGAGCGGGGGGGTGTGGGTGTGCGGGGATGGCTAGACTTCTTCTCCCCCCCCCCAATAGCTTAAGAATCTTCCCTTTAGAAAAGTGCAGTGAGGCCACAAGCAGAGCTTAAGACACAATGGGCATTCATGGTGAGAAACCGTTGCATTTTTACCTTTGTTTGCACCAAGAATGCCATGCTGGGGAGAAATGAAGACTCCACTATTCTTACCAAAGGCGCCGAGGCTTTCTCTAACCAGCTTTATTCTGCAGAAGTTCTCATGGTTATTAAATCCTTGTAAGGAAACTGTTTGCTACAAACAGAGTGGTGATATTTAGGATCCTGGTCTGGTAAGTGTATGTGTTTAACGTGTCTTTTGTGTGTAAGTCCTGTCAGTAAGACGTTGAGATCTGGGTTTTCATATAAAGTCTCTTGGAAATGCAATAATCTGTCTCTCACAGTGGCTGTTTATATTTTGTGACCATTAAGTTGCTACAGTGGGTGTTTCTGGGGGAAGTGAAGGGATACTTTTAAAAAGGTAATGTTTCTGATTATTTAAGACTTAACAAAAATGTTGCATACAATATAGCAGGAAAATTAGGATTTTATAACACGGATTTTTTAAACTAGCTAGTAGTTTGACACCTCTTGAAATGTTTTTGTTTTACTTCTCATAGTAAATTCTTTTGGTATAAAGAGAGGTAGATATGCGAGTCTTTTTCAGCAAAGCTAGTCTTACAGCCTCTGAAAGACTAACATGTTTGTTATGGTGTGAGATTTTGTGAATTATTGTCCTCTTCCTCAGCTATAGGAAATCTTCTAGTTTTGTGTGCTTTTACTCACCCGGTAGACTATCTGCTCCTTGAATGCAGCCTTCAGCACCATCACTCAAGTCCAGCTGCATTTTTAAACAATTGTGTAGTGATGAGTAGCATGGCCCTGATACCTCCATTGCCATGGTGTAGAGCGAGTAGGGTTGCCTGCAGTGAGGTGGAAAGAAGACAAAATACAGAAACTAGAAGTGGTCATAATTGGTGTTTTTGGGGGGTACAACTCCCAGAATTCAGGGACAAGGTGTTCCAACATATGAAAAGTTCATTAACACATGCAGTGCGACGGGAAAGTCTCGGATCAGGCCAGAGGTGGTACAGTATAGTACAATATCTTCTTGGATGTCTTCATTTAGGAAGAGCCACTTAAGGTAAAAGTTCTGCAGACAGAATTAGCATGCTGTTTCAGGGTCTGCCTGTTGGCCCAGATGCCTCCAAGTTAATGTTGTACATGTATACTGACTGCACCTGGCCAAGAGGCCTTTTTAGTTCTGCCTGAATGGCCCAGGGCTTGAACCTAGAACCTTTTGCATGCAGAGTGCAGCCACCGAGCAAGAGCTCTTCCCAACTATGTGATAGTCCAACATAGAGTCTGCAGTTGACCATACTCAGGAAGGCCTGTTGTCTTCTGATAGGTTGGATATTGGGGGGCGCGTGTTGCAAGGAGAGGCCTTGTTTTCCCTTATAAGTCCTTTGCAGCCACTGAGTGGAGGCAGGTTTTGCCCCCCCCCCAATGGCAGCTGCTTTCCCCCAACCCGAAGGGAAGCACTTGGTCTTCCACAGGGAAGCATGAAGGAGGAATCTTCCTTTTATATAATGGCCCATTGAGGGAGGTGCCATTCGGAATGAGGACTATGCCTGATACAAGGTTCAATGGCTGAATTGGAATTGTTTTAGAGAGCCATTAGTCCAGAGATTGGAGGCAGGTACTCCTGAAGAAACAGGATCCACTGAACTCCGGAGAAGAACTGTGGCTGTTGGCCAGACAAATTTCTTAATATTTTGTACCAAGATAGATTCCTGCTCACTGCACGATCCAATGCTAGTCATAGGAGTTCTTATCAATAATAATGTTTCCATTGCTAAAAATGCCTTGGTATTTGATTCCCTGAGAGGTTCTCCCCACCCATCCCACGATGTAAAAGGCACTTGGCATTATGGATGAACTGTAAGCTGATATACTTTAGGAGAATTCTGGCATGTACGTTGGTTCCCCAAATGAGTGGCTAATATAATGTTCTACAAAAGGGGGAAAAGCCATGTCCTTGTACACGGTCCAAAGGCAAGAGTAAGTAGTAATTCTGATTAGACCACACACACAAAAATGACAAACAAATGCCAGCTTTTGGCCGATAATGTTGTGATCTTTGTCATCCATGCGTTTTGTGACTCCTGAATGCATTTCAGGTGCTTACACTTTATAGCTAGGCACAATACACAAAACAGATTTTGTCCGCAGGCCTTTAAAACTGTTAATACATTATTCTGTAAAACAGTGGTTCTTAACCTTTGTTACTCGGATGCTTTTGAACTGCAACTCCCAGAAACCCCAGTTAGGACAGCTGGTGGTGAAGGCTTCTGGGAGTTGCAGTCCAAATATCCGCAGGCCTTTAAAACTGTTAATACGTTATTCTGTAAAATAAGGTTTGCGAGAGCTGAGTGGAGCAGAATCAACTTGAGCTCACAAAGAGTAGCAGAAATAAGAATGGCCATATATGTGATATTAGAAAAAAAAATTCAGTACTAAACTAGAATATTTTCTATTATTGTCTGGATGCTTTATGGTTTGGGCACTTCAGTCTGCACTCTCTTGCTAGTCCTACAATTTTAGGCCTGTTGATTTAGTGGGATTTACAGAAGTGTTAACAGCATTGAGTGCTTGATTCCATGGGTCTTCTCTCTAACAGAGGCTGGCCGTTGGATACTGGCTGTTGAAGGTTCATGAAAAACACCCAAGTAAAACAACTTCACTATAAAAACGGGTTCAATTAATTCCATTGAAAATGCCTTGGGAATAATAATGTCTGAAGTATTTTACAGTATTTCCTTTCTTGCCTCATCTTAACATTTTGCTGTGCTTGCATTTCCAAAGTGTGAACATATTTTTTTAAAAAAAATTATTTTTCTTGACCCAGATCTTTTGCTATGAGCTGAATTTTCCACTTCTTGCACCAACGTAGGTGTGTACAAATTACAATGTGTATTAATGTGAAAAAAAAAGTAGTAAGGGCGACATAGTTTGCAGCAGGTCCAAAGAACTCCCCGGTGTCTTACAATTAAAAAAAAAACGCAATATTGGGATGATGAAACCTAGGCATCATTTCCTTTTCTACCACCACTCCCGACTCACGAGACTGATGTTTCTTTTCTGGATGTGTGCATACATCAAATGAGATCATCTCTTCTTGGAACGTATGCTGAAGCTGGGAAAAAAGCAATTTAAATCATTGGGATTGGGTGAGACAGATCTTCCTCCAAGGAAGGATTACAACATTTGGGGCTTTTCGTTCAGGAGGAGGCTGTGGGAAGGACACGGTAGAGGGTTTTCCGGTTATGCCTGGTGCGTGGAGAAGCTGGGGAGCAAAAGCAGCTCTCCATCTGTCATAACCCTAAACTCAGGACATCCAAAGAAACTGGCAAAGGCTGGACAAAAACCTTCAACTTTGCCTGTCGTAAAAGTTAGGCAGATTCCTGAAGGAGTACCAAAGCCTTTAAGCCATGACTTCAAGAAGGCTCCATTTTGCCCCATGATAGGCAGCAGGAGGAGGAGAGGATCGTGGCCTTGACAACTTGCTTGTGGGTCTTCTAGCCTTGTCTAGTAAGAAGTCCCTGCTACAGTAGCTTTTACCTTGGTCCCAGTGGCCTGATCCAGCAGCTCTTTCTTTCCTTCTCTCTCTCTCCCCCTTACTGCCTCTTTCTTTTACACTGGAGAAGTTACTTTTTGGACCGCAGCTCCCGGAGTTTTCCAGTCCACACCTTCAGCATATGAGCAGCTGTAGTCCAAAAAACCTCTGAGATCAGCTTCATAATGCAGCTGCTAGGACAGTTGACCTGCTGCGTTTTTCACCTGATCGCAGGTGCGGTACCCAGCCTGATTCCCTACACCTCACCTGCCCAACATTGCCTGGTGTGGTGACATTGGGTTGCATTCCCAGTATTGCTTGTGTAGTTAATGCTGCCTGCTGGCCCAAACTCCTGTTATTCATTCAGCATAGGCAGAGAAGATGGGCGGGTCATGATGCTGCCCTGTGTCTCATACAAGGCTGTGGTAGAGCTACTGCAGGGAGGGCACCAATCGGTTTCGTGGTGACCTGCAGGCTTCTGCTGGGTTCCTTATAGGAATGGGAGACCTATTAGATCCCAGACTGCCCTGTTTGGTCCTGTTAGATTAATATTTGCTTATAATTTGGTGTTATGGGGATATTCCACAGGTAGGTAAATTTAAGTCATCAGCGGCCAGGTACCCTTTAATCCTGAATCTGTTTACAAGTGGCTTCTGCAACAAAATGTCGCGGCATATAGTGTTCCTCTTGAAAGTGCCAGCCAACCATATCTCTTTCCAGGAGTCTTTGTTCAATTTTCATTTCTCCACCGCACAGCCAGTCCGCATGCAATAGCCACTGAGTTTGTCATTGAGGTTTGGTTTTGGGGGTCCTTTAGGTTTTTTCATAAGGGGTTTTTCTTTTTCTTTTTTTCAGGGTGTGGGATAGTTCTGCAAACCTTTGTGGAAGCATTGCACCTTTATTGGAGAGCTAGTTCCTCCTCTCTGAGCAATATCCTCACAGACGTCCTGCCTTCTCTCTGTAGGTACCTGATCTTGAAGTCATCCCGATAAGGGATGTGAAAGAGCGGCTGAAGTGGAGAAAGTCAAAAACGCTATTTGTACTTTGCAGTGCTGACAAGGACTAAAGGGGTTATTAATTAAGCAGTCTTTTCAAAAATCATGTCGGCATCCGTTGGACAGAAAAAGGGGCCCGGGAGGCAGCGCAAGTGCGGCTTCTGCAGGTCCAACCGAGATAACGAATGTGGGCAGCTCCTGCTCTCAGAAAACCAGAAGGTGGCAGCACATCATAAATGTATGGTAAGAGTACCAAAGGGGGCGGGAGATGAACGGAGCACTTCCTTGGAGTGGAACTCAGGTGCCCAAATGAAAGAGGGTATTGGTGAGGAAGAAATGATATGGGCAGGCTGGGCTATCACACACACCCCACTCCACCTCTGCAGCCAGACCCTTTTATCTTCAGCTGGCCCCGTGGTCATTTTATCCTGCATTTTATTTCGTCAGGGTTCACCCTGTGCAGACAGGCTTGGAAGTAAATCCCATCAGACTCACAGGTCTGGTATCTGAGTGAGTCTAGGAAGGGGGTAGTGCATTGAGCACTTTAAAATGCTCCATGGAAAATGCACATTCATTCAGAGGCATGGCTCGGTTCATTTGTTGAAGCAAAATAAAAGGTGGTAGTGGTATTGTGGTACCTGAATGACTAAGAAATGCATCATAGCATCAGTTTTCAGGACTAGAGTTTTGTGTTAGAGATGGAGTCTAGTCCATAAAAACTTACATCCCAGACTTTTAAGGAGCTGCATAACTATTTCTTTTGCTTATCATTTCAGTTAGCAATTCACAGTAAGAACACTCTCTCCGATACAAAAATTTAGATTCTGTTATCCTCAGGCCTTATTTTAGCAAACTCTAAAGTCACAAAGTGCAATTTTTGTGTGTGTCCAGCTTTTTTCGTCTGCCTTGGTATCGTCGCACTCTGATAATGAGAGCCTTGGGGGCTTTTCCATCGAAGATGTGCAGAAGGAAATAAAAAGAGGTACCAAGCTGGTAAGTTGTCATTTCTAACTCACAGAAATGGAATGGCTGAATCTATTGCAAATTAAATTTAATTGGTGTATTGGAGGTCAACCTCCTCTTCTCATATATTCCTGGCATGATCCTGTATATGCTCAGTCCTGCTTGTGGATTGTACTGAAATAGTTGTCACTGTGTCTCGTTTTAAAAACTAATATTTATATCATAGGAAGATCTAAGGTACTTTCAATTAACCATCATGTTTCTTTGAGACCTTTTGTCTTCCTTTATCATTGAAGCACAGAACAAATAAATAAATAGAGATGATGAGTGCTATGGAAGAAAAAGGTATAGTCCCTCTTAGGCCCCTTTCATGCTGGGTCATAGCTCTAGAGCTTTCTCCAGTGACAGTGATCAAACCTCGTGAATTTTGGAAGCTTCTTAAAATAGAAGTTCTGTACATGACTGTGTTGCCTCAGGCATTTGGATTATGCTGAAAAGCATGGATTGATTTTCCAGTACTTAGATACTTAGATCTGTTTTATTAAGATCTGTGCTGATTTCAGTGGTGCTTCAGTGAATAATGGGCATGTCCACTTTGAACGTAGAAAGCCGTTTTCATACCAAGCTGTCTTATCAGCCCAGCCTGGCAGCATGGTTTCCTTTGACTCATGATTGCCTAGAGAAAGATAGGCTGAAATCTTTCTGAGCCCTTCTAATTGAGAGTCTTTGAAGTGGGGATGCCCCTGGCCAAATGTGGGGGCCTCTACAAGTCCATCTTTCCTTGCCATGACAGATTTAGACACAAGGGAAGTGAACCTGGGCAGTAAATCAAGCTACCTGTTTGAAATATTGGGTGAAATATGAGCTGTGCCCTGTAGTCTGTTCTCTTGGGCTGCATGTTCTTCCCTCCTTGCTATTGATTTGATGCAACTTGTTGATTTCCTATTCTCATATTTAATCAGAAAAAAAGGAAAGTGCACTGTAAGGTGGATCTAATAGGTTACCTTTCCTTCAAGTGGTTATCTCTTGTATGTTTTAATCTTTGTTAATGACGCAGAAAACTCCTAATAGTATGTCCTTTTTTTCCCCCTTTCAGAAGTGCTCCTTATGCCACTGTCCAGGGGCCACCATTGGTTGCGATGTGAAAACCTGCCACAAGACGTATCACTATTACTGTGCGTTGCATGACAAAGCTCAGATCCGAGAGAAACCGTCTCAAGGCATTTACATGTAACTACTATTTGTTTGGCTTGTTTATTAAATTACACGGAAAGGATTTGATGGTGCTGAAACAGAGGTTTTGATTGTTAGGTTTTCTTTACTGTGACAGCCATCATCTTAAACTGTGGCTGATGCACTAGAATAATTTATAAACGGGTTTTAAACCTCGGTGTCAAGAGTGATTTTGTTCTCTCCAATGTTCTGCTTCTAGGATATTATGTCGAAAACACAAGAAGGTGCCTCACAACTCAGAAGGTAAAAAGATTTAAACTAATCTTCTGTTTTAAATGGCTTTGCATCAAACGTTTTTGTGTCGCATGCTAAGGAAAAGGACACAGAATAATGTTTTTATCTTTGAATTTCCTTGTTCACAAGCCTGGGGAAATCAGAAGAGTCCTTTTTGGATTGAGCCAAAAAGCTTGTCTGTCCCATAGGAGCCAAACGGATTGCATTGGGCAGCCCCCAAATCTGGTCCTGAAGGCAGTAGCCATGCCCTCCCGCTTAACCCTCCCCCCAGTAGCTGCAATCTAGAGGCCCACTGTCCTGGAATGCTGAAGCACAATATAGCTCTGATCAGTGGCTGCTGGTTTTCACACATTTCATCAGACAGATATGCTAAAATGTTAGGCCACAGGTTTATATACAGTGTACATAGTTACAGGGGTAGGAACAGAGTGAACTAGGATGCAGAAGATGACAATTCATTCCATCATTAATGCTAGTACAGTCGTGCCCTGCTCAATGATTACCCCGCATTACGACGAATCCGCTTCACAACGATGTTTTTGTAATCGCAAAACGATGGTCTAAATGGGGTTTTTTCACTTTGCGAAGATTGGTTCCCTGCTTCAGGAACCGATTCTTCACATTACAACGATCAAAACAGCTGATCGTCGGGTTTTCAAAATGGCCGCCGGGTGCTCAAAATGGCTCCCCGCTGTGCTTAAGGATGGATTCCTCGCTACATAGGCACCGAAAATGGCCACTGTATGATGTTAGCTGGACGGTGAGTTTTTAGCCCATTGGAACACATTAACTGGGTTTTAATGCGTTTCAATGGTTTTTTTAATTTTGCTTTACGACATTTTTGCTCTACAGCGATTTCGCTGGAACAAATTAATGTCGTTAAGCGAGGCACCACTGTAATGACTTTGCAAAATGTTGATTACTCCTACTGTCAGGATATGCATGTAATCAGCTAATGCTAACCGTCCATAGGCTAATCCACAATGTTTAACCTTTAGTCTTTAAAGTGCTGAATCAATGAGTTCACATGTATAGATGTAATTCTGTGGCCTAAAGGTTGCATTTCATGTGACTAAAAAGTAGACCGTCATCCACAAAAGGTCAAACGGACATAAATCTGCTAGTCTTAAAGGTACCCTTTTTTGTTACATATAGTGAAACAGACACATGGCTAGTTCTCTGAAAATCTGCACCTGTTGTTTTGCTTTCAGCAGATTTAGAAGAAGGTCTAAATGAACAAGAACTGGAGCCATCTCCTCCGAAAAAGAGGGGGCGTAAAGGAAGGCCCAGAAAAATGACTCTCAAAGGGCAGCCGGAAGATGCACGGTCCACCTCTTCACATGGCACCGATGATGTAGAAAGTAGTTCTTATGTAAGCAGTGTGTGTGTTTAAAAGATGTACCAAAAAGCCTCTGTTTTCAGGCAAATATGCTTAGCCTGCCTTCTGATATTTGTTTTTTCTGGCATATTATTTTAGAAGAGTCTTTTTCTTTCAGAGAGACCGATCACCCCACAGAAGCAGTCCCAATGATACAAAACCTAAATGTGGATTCTGTCATGCAGGTGAAGAAGAAAATGAAGCTAGAGGGAAGCTTCATATATTCAATGCCAAAAAGGCGGCTGCACATTACAAGTGTATGGTGAGAAAGATTGCTTTGCCCTCTCGCTCCCCTGGTCCTGCCTACGCTTTCAGTAAATGAGCACAAGTCATGTCTTCCTTCACTGCTCTCTGCAGATATGAGCACTGTGAAAAAAAGGATTTTTTCTTTCTCAAAGGGACAACATGTACAGGAGCTGTCTACCACACCCACCCACTCGGGTCTTACGTAGCTCACTGGGCTACCATCCAATTTCCTGTGGGTGGGGGTGGGGGGGGAGGAGAAGCAAAAGCATCCTCTTGGAGTCTTCCAAGCTAGAACCTGATTTAAGAATATAAGAAGAGTCTTGCTAGGTGAGACCAGGATGGCCGTAGCGTTTTCATGGTGGCTCCAGGGATCCTCAGACGCACACCACGAGGGCAAGAGTCAGTCTCATTGACAAGCCTCCCTAGATCTGTTCTTCCTTTAAAGTCACCTGAGTTGAACCCTGGGCACAAGCTTCCCGGCTCTTAGTCATCCCATTTCAGAGTACTGTTTATCACACGTCCCCCTTCAGAAACCTACAGGGCCAGAGTTACCCATGTTCCTCACATTCTGCATCTCTTTTCTTTCTAGTTGTTCTCTTCTGGTACTGTACAGCTGACCACAACGTCAAGGGCGGAGTTTGGGGACTTTGATATTAAGACTGTTCTCCAAGAAATCAAACGGGGGAAGAGAATGGTAAGGCCTTCTGGTGTCAACCGTTCTGGTTTTCATGCCGACTTTCCCCCCCAAAGATCTGACAGCTGCACGTGGGTCCTTACACTTTGGCTCCTCACAGCAGCCACTAAGTTGAGATAAGGATTGACCAAAGTGACCTAGTATTTTTTTACAGCTTAAGCAGAGATTAGTCCCCGGGTTCCTGGAGCGAAATCCTACCCTCTAGCCAAAACATAAAGCTTGGAGCTTTGTTCCCTGAGTAGCCAGTTATTTCCTTCTGTAATGGTGTTTTAGCCAAGGAAATCTTGGGAACGGTTGTTTTATAAGAATTCATTGATATACTCAGTGAACGTACAAAATGGTGTGCACAGTCCAAAATCATCCATTGCAATAACTCAGTTGTCACACGGCAAACTGCATTCTGTGGGAAAAGTTTACCGGAAGGGCTGTATTTTGGTGTATGGAACTGAATGTGAAATGGGAAGCAGTGGAATAACACCCAATTTCTCCTCACTGACATTTTCTTTCTGTCCTTCCCCACTCCTGCTCCTCCTTTTAACAGAAGTGTACACTTTGTAGTCAGTCGGGAGCTACTATTGGATGTGAAATTAAAGCTTGCATCAAGACCTATCATTACCACTGTGGAGTAGAAGACAAAGCAAAATACATTGAGAATATGTCACGAGGAATTTACAAGTAAGTATCCCTTCTCTTTTCTTTCATCAGAGGGATGTTGATGGCCTGTGGGAACTTTCTTGATTGCACAGCATCCTGAAAATTTGAACAGGAGCTAAATTCATCTATAGGTAGCCAACCCCTGTGCTCTCCAGTTCATTAAAGATTTCCAGGACAGTTGAGAGCAGTACATAAAACACCGTCATTCAAGCAACTTCAAGAGTTTCACACAGAAGGAGTTACCGGATGGAGTGAAGGGGATGTAACAGAATTGCTTTTCATTTGAGTTTCTTTTCCTTTGTGCAATTGCCTTGTATTCAGGCTTTACTGTAAAAACCATAGTGGGAACGACGAACGAGATGAAGAGGACGAAGAGCGAGAAAGCAGAAGCCGAGAGAAGTCGGTGGTCAACCATCCTGGAGCGCCTCAGCAGCAGCAGCAGCAGCTCAATGGAAACTAGGTATGGAAGTTTTCGTCTGCGGCCCTTCTCCCAGGACATCATTGTAAAATCGATGTAGTTGTGTTAGTGGTCAGACATTTTAAACCGAGCATATGCCAATTAAGTGGTGTTTTGTTTTTGTTTATTTTTATTTTCTTTTTTAACTGGAGCCCTTGTTGCACCACAAGTGGGAGTGTTTCTCAAATTCAGCTAACTTCAAAGAAGATGCTGCATTCCTGCCAATAAACATAGCTGTCATGTTCAATTTGGTAATATGCTTTCCTCTTTTATTCTCAACTTCTTTTTAAAAAAACTCCTTTCCTTTTCCCTCCCCAATCATGTTTTGTACAGGTTCAAGTAACAGAATTAAGCTGGGAATGAATAAGACATTCATAACTACTAACCTTTGACTTTCTTTTTCAATGCTTTATAAAGTCAGAAGAGGGTTAGTAGCTTTTCTTTTTAACTGCCTGACTGTTAGAAATGACATTCAACTGCCCGAAACATTCAAATGTGTGAGCCTTCAATGAGCAGCAGAGGTGGGGTTTTTTTTTACATGTTGATATTCTATGTAGTTAGTCTGCAGTGTCTGGAGGAAAAACAACTACACACCCCAAAACTCTATATAAATGAGAGGTGACATGAAAAGTGTCAAAACTGGGGCAGGCGTTGGGACAGCAAAAGCTGTTTTTATTCTGGACTGAATGAAATCTCTTAAGATTGGAATATGTTCAGTGGATTTGTCGGCCATGATATGTTCTGAAACTTAACTTGCCAAGTGGATACGCGAATGTGGTGAGAGCCAAGCTGCAAGTGAGGCATTTGGCTTTTACCTTCGTGTACAAAGGATGGAGGCAAACCAACAGGGAAGCTGCTAAAGCAAACTGTAGGAAGAAAAGAGAGAGAGAGGATTCTACACTCCAGAAGGATGTTTGACTTAGGTTATTTCCGCAATGATGGTTTCTACTGCCTAGCATCCCTCTCTGGAGACTTCAAGTTGCCATCACCTATAAGCTGTAAGCTTTGGTACTACATGCCAAAAGGCTGTAGTTCATTCTCTTCGTACACGCACGTACACACACCCTGGGCGCATCCATCTCTTATTCTCTCCTCCTGGCTTCACAAACCATCTGTGGCTAATTACAACGGACGAGTGCTCATTTCTGGAAGCTGCAAGACTTCCACCACCATCACCACTTCAGATTTCAAAATGATTCTTTTGCTAGGGAATTTAGCCACCTCTTTTGGACATTGTACCTCAAGTGCTCTGTGCTGCGTGGAACACATCATGTTTTGTCCAACATGACTCCAGATTTTTTGTTCATTTTTTTAAAAGGTCAGTATTTATTTTGGGTCTTGTGACCACTATATGGGAATGTTCTAGTATCTGATTAAGGTTTTCTGGCAAATCAGCAAATCAAATGCTGTTAAATCTACCCAATGCTCTACTGGAGCCTAACTACCTTGAAATTATGCCAAGTCTTAATATTCCAGGTATTCCGGCATAGAATTCTGGTTACCTTTAGTAGTATCTTTTATTGGTTTAGTTAAACCTATTTTAAGCACAGTGAGGAAGTTATACTTGTTAGCAGCTAAGAAATTTACTCTAGACATTATTCTTATCCCTTGAATTTGAGGCCAAGCAGCAAATGGAATTGTGATGAGAATTGGATGAAAAACTGCAACAACTCAAGTACAAACATCTTTTCATTATATGATCTGTTTCTGAAGCCTTGTTTAATTTCCTTTTTTTTAATTTTAAATCTTTTATTGTCTCTTTTTTTAATGTATTTCATTGTCTCGAGGGACTCAACTATTGTGTATAAGAACTTCAAAGACTTTCAAGTTGGAATTCAATCCATTTGGGTTTGAAAATTTCCCAGAAGAATGCAGTTTTAGTAGAAAAGTTGTGTATAAAAAATAAATCTGTTAACTGCTCTTACGCTATTGACCTTTTTTTTATTTTGTATTGTAACTTTCAAGATTAAAGGTGCAACTTGTACTGAAATAGAGTTTTACCAGGCGCAAGTGGTCCTCTCTTCTTTTGATTTCCTACAGCTGCTTCAGGATATGAAATGATGGGTTGTATCAGGGTTGGGTTCCTTTATTTCTGTTGGAAACTACTCTGAAGGGGTCCAGCAAGTTCAGAATAATCTGCACAGAAACCAACACTGTCCCAAATGATTTTTAAAAATGGCTTAACTGCAACCAAGATAATAGACCACCTCCCTAGAACAAGGTCTTTTGCAGACAGTAAATCACAGAGCCAGCAGGAATGTGTCACCGATACATCCTTGGCGTCATGGTGCCAGCCTTGGTTATAGCCAGTAGGAAAGGCAAAAGTCAGTGAAGGAGGTTGGAGGTTCTTCAGACTTGTCTGATTGAGGGGGGATAAGGACACTCTTAGTGGGGCCTTGTGATTATTTTTAATA